AAAAAAAAATGACAAACGAACTACTTATTACTTATAACTTAGGCGATTGATTTCTTGAATATGTGTAAGCACATTTGACTGTCTTTTATGATTGGATTACCACATTCTGTTGATTCTTATTTTGTGGTTGGCTTTTTCCTTTGATAACTATGTAAGTTTAAAAAGCTAAAGCTTTAATCTGTTCTTAGAAACAATGATCAGTATATATATGTAAACTAAAGAAAAAGGTGCAGTATATTGTATATATGTATTTACACGCAATATAATGTATATGTGCAGTTAAACTGTTAATAATTCTACCTAATAAAACTGAAAAAGGTAAAAAAGTAAATTAAAAAAAGAATCTTTCTCTCCTTTGTTCTCAGACTTGCCTGTGCTTCTTAATAGACTGCATGTCCTTAACAGCAATTCCTTACTGTTCCTGAACAAACCTGTTTTATTGATTAAATAACTGGCTGTTTTATTGTCTGTGGTCAACAAGTTAAAATACCATAAAGATCTCCTACCTCGCTTCAGTGGCCTTTCTCCTGGTCATGAGATAGGATGAGACCTGGGACCCTCTACTGGAGGGCTTGCACCTGGACAAATGTCTTCTAGAGCAACAGAATACAAAGAGACTACAAGGGACTGAAAGTAACTGCACACATGCACACTTGGGCAATTAAGAACAATAAGGTATAAAAAAGCCACAAACCAACTGCCATTTCTGAGGTGTCAGGAGCAAAAGCCTGGGACTGCGCATGATGCTACACACGGCACCACCAAGGGGCAGGCAGACACCTAAGTTATGCATCCTGCCCTGCCCTGCCTGCATTTAAGGAACCAGTAAAGAAATCATGGCCCTGAGGTCCCTTTCATGCTGTTTCAGTGAAGGGTTTGAATTAGAATATGTTTCAAAGGGAAAGGAAAAACCCTCTATATGCAAGAGAAGCCCCAAGAAAGACCCCAGGTATGGAGCTGTAAATTGTTAAGGTCTCAGGTTACTTGGAATGAGGAAAGTGTTGAGCAAAAGTGACCCTGACATCAGCATTTAGGAGTTAAATCATCCATTCAATGAGATCCCATCCAAAGAAATCATCAGTTTTGTATGGGGTGCATGTTTTGAGCTATATTCTTGCTAAATAACTTTTCTTCAGTCCTCTGGTTAAGACAGCCTGTTTAGAACCTGCCATTTGATTCTCCTTGAAAATATATAATGCATATATTAACTCACCAGGAGAGCATTTTGAATTCTGTTAGGTGGAGCAGATGTGCTAATTTGATCTTCAGCTGGAGGTTCAGAGTTCACTATTCTGTAGTTGACAGTTCATTCAAAACAAAACAAAACAATTCACAAGTCACGTTTACTTGTTCTCACTCCCATGTGCTGCAGCAGGATTCCCAATGAGGCCTTCCCTGAATTTCTGGCCCCATCCATTTCTATTGATCGAAGAGTCCAAGGACCTGAGTTGGTAACACTTACACATCTGCTAGTTTGCTGTAATCCTTTGACTATCTTCTAGGTTCTGATAAGGTAGTTTCTGGCAGTTTTTGTCAGGTTTTAAAAAATGTTTTGGGGGAGGGATGGACCTTGCAGCTCCCCATGTAACTAAGCAGGACCCCAAGGCACCTTCCCTGGACAGACCCCTCCCCGGTATCCTCTGCTATAGCTCCTCTTTGCGGGACCCAGATAACAGTATCTGATGCACGTTTGCGGAGTTGTTTTACAGATGCTAAAATCCCCCACAAACGGAGGATGTTAACTACCTGATGAACAAGAGCACACGGCCCCCAGGCCTCCAGGTACCTAAGGACTGATATTGTTGACCCCGTGACTCCACTCTGTTACCCCACCATCAACCAATCAGAGAACTGTGCAGTTGTGCACCGGCTGATCACCTACCTGACCCACCTCCTCACCTGGCCTTTAAAAATGCTTTCCTGAGAGCCAACTGGGAGTTGCGGCTTTGGGAGCACTAATTGTCCAGGGCTGTGTGCCTTACAAGAAACGCTGCACTTTGCGTCACCACGACCCGGTGTTAGCAGCTCAGCTTTACTGCGTGTGGGCGCGTAGGCCCAAGTTTGGTTCTGTTAACACCCACTGTACCATTTTTGCCGATGTCACCTAAGCTGATTGTATACAAGCCCTAAGCCGGGTAGAAATGATCAAGTGGGGGATTTGCAAAGTCCCCGGCCGTTATCCCCTGGGAATTAAACAGCAGAGTCAAGACCCCAATCCATAGCCTTTCTACACCTTTTTCTTCCCATTTTGCACAGTATTGGGGAGTTTTATTATCTCCCATTCCCTGACCCCTGCCCAGGGAACCTCCAGCCCCTTGTCTGGACCGGCAGACACAGATTTCGAACCACCTTGGAACGCTACGGAACATCACCGTGCCCTCCCGCTTCCCCAGTCCTCCCGAAATCTGCCTTTCTCGCTCCAAAGCTCCCCTGCTCCTCAGATAAATGGCAGCACCGTCCAGCCACTTGTCCCAGCTCCAACGCTGGAGTCACCCTCATTGGACCAATCCCTCCTGAAAGCAGAAACCGGGAAAGTCCAGAGCCCGGGGCT